CTCTCTCTCTCTCTCTCTCTCTCTCTCTCTCTCTCTCTCTCTCTCTTCAGGGGCCATTGCCACACTCTTTGCTCTCTTTCCATTGGCAGACACAGGCCTTTGGTACCTAAGCTGAACCACTCTTCACATCTTTTCATTGGCCAAAATCATGTTCTTTGGTGTAGTAAGGAAACTAGAGTAGACCCACTGAATCAATGGAGATTTAGTGGCTTAACTCCTCCATAACTAAGGCATGTGTCACTATAGCCAAACTGGATATCTCAAGGAGACCTGGAGACCACCATACTATAACACTCTACGTGGAGCTGCCTTTGAAGATGCTTCAGAAACGTCAGCTGCTCCAAAATGCTGTGGCCGGAACTGTTGAATGTGGCCAGTTGCAGGGAGCATATGACTCCCCAGCTACAACAGCTTCACTGGCTGTCAGATGAGTCCACTCCTCTGTAAATCTCACTGATTCAATGGACCTATTCTAGTTGCAACTTATTACACTAAGCAACAGAATTTCGTACACTGTGTTTGAAAACTTTTTCCCCCAAAACATAATTTCAGTTTGTTTTAATTTGTACATTGTTCTTACTACTCACCTTCAGTGCCTTTTTTTTTTCCTATGTGGGGAGTAGACTGGTGGGACAGAAATAAAATAAAGATGTTAAATAAATAAAATAAGATCTAGAGCTTCTATTATAACCATTATCAATATCAATATCGCCCCCATATTAGAACTGGAGAGCTGGCTGAGTCACTATGAATCAATTAAGTCCAGCCCCAGCCAAGGAAGCACAGTGGAGGAATCAAACTCTCAACAGAATTTCGTACACTGTGTTTGAAAACTTTTTCCCCCAAAACATAATTTCAGTTTGTTTTAATTTGTACATTGTTCTTACTACTCACCTTCAGTGCCTTTTTTTTTTCCTATGTGGGGAGTAGACTGGTGGGACAGAAATAAAATAAAGATGTTAAATAAATAAAATAAGATCTAGAGCTTCTATTATAACCATTATCAATATCAATATCGCCCCCATATTAGAACTGGAGAGCTGGCTGAGTCACTATGAATCAATTAAGTCCAGCCCCAGCCAAGGAAGCACAGTGGAGGAATCAAACTCTCAGCCTCTAACCACTGAGCTATCTAGCTTCTTCTCTGTTTCACCCATGCATGTACATTGCTCAAAGTCTCATCACTGGCTTACTGCATTTGATGATTAGCAGCGGATTGTCTGAATTATTGATGCCCTGCTCCCCCACAAAACAGTTCATTTCATGTGTTGTCGGAGTTATCTTCATAGTGTTCATTCCGTGGGAAGCAGCCATGCATATAATCCATCATATGCTACTGCAGCCAGCCAGCCATAGGTAAATATGTCTGAAGCCCTTTGTGATCTAAACCTGAGCAGAATATAACAGCAATCCGAAAACAGCCCAGCTTCTAACCTCTCATTGGCAAATATCTTCATACTCAGTTCATTATTACCCTTCAACAGTCACCACTGAGAATGCAGGGAAGAGCCATTAGACCCACACATGGTAACAGAAGCTAAAATTTAGCAATGGATGAATAAAATTGAACATTTAGGTTAGGAAACCTTCGCTTTCCAGATGTTTCGGGAATGTCTTTGTTGCCACACCCCAACTAAGAACCTCCACTATAAGCCACCTTGTCTACTGCTATTGGTGTTGTCAATATTCAGGCTGCCTTTTACTATGTAAAGCTTCATATCCTTCTTCATGCTGGCAACATGGACACAATATTATGCAGGTGTATCAGGCCATTTCCTGGCATTACAAATAATGGATACAAAAGCAGAATATCCCATATTCATAAACTGGAGGCTTTTTGAATATGTGAATTTCCTGGCATTTTAAAATTGAAGTTTAAGTATATATGCACTACTTACAAATTCCAACATAAACTTCTCTTGTGCAGAATGCCCCAGTGCTAGAGAATCCCAGAAGATAAGCACATGATCTGTACTATCGCTGCTGGGATAGGACAGAAACTAGAACAGCTGGGATGTGGCTGTAGTCCCCCTTCGCCAAAATACGTTGAAGGCTGTTTTAGACTTAATGGAATGGTGAAGCAAAAGTGTGAGTGGATATAATACATACAATGGAGAAACATACACACACTTTAACCTCTCAGGTAAACTAATGTTGCCATGCCAGATCAGCGGAATGCAGACTGGATAGCCATGTTCCAATGTCCAAACACTTTCCTTGGTATAGGCAAGCTGAGGGGGGAAAGCCATATCAGACTAAAAGCTCTACAAACATATCTGTATGTTTACCAAAAGATGTCCCCTTACCTTTCGAAATAATTTTTTTTTTAAAGGGAGAGTTGGGAGTTAGCAAAGAATGTCACTGAAAACTAAAGTCAAAATCATCCATACTATGAAAAAGAAAGACAGCGAGGAAACACAGGGACAAAAAGCAGCTCATTTAAAATGTGGTGTTGATGTAGATACGAAAGACAGCCAGAAAAGCTGAAAAGTGGATGCTCAATCAAGTCAAGCCTGAACTCTCACTCATGCAAAAATGAATAACCTGAGCCTATCCTACCAGGCACATATAATGGAAATACAGAAGTGACCAGAATAGACTATATTGCTGGGAAAAGTGAGGTGGACCAGTAGACAAAAAGGAAGATCATGTTAGATATGGTTTGACTCAATAAATGAAGCCACAGCTGTTAGTTTGCAAGATATGAGCAGAACTTAATGGAAAAGAAAGTATTGCAAGAAAGGGGGGAGCAGTAGGAAGAGAGAACAGACTAACGTGTGATGCTGTTGGTTTTCAGATCTGAGCAGAGCTGTTAATGACAGGACATTTCTGGAAGTCATTAACTCATATAGTCAACATACATCAGAAGTAATTTGATGGCACATGTCGTCTTTGGAATCTTTTCCCCTTAATTATCAGACAATTGTATAATGACATGGTTGAAACTTTGACGGGATATTGGCACTAAAGCTCTGCTAAAATCAGGTTAAAAATAGTAGTTTCACAGCTTAAACAAGTGGATAAACAGATGGGAAGGCATTGATTTTGTCAAGGCATTGACCAAGTCATGGCAAAATCATGTGGATGGCAGGAAACATATTGATAACATTAGTGTTGAATCAAGTACATTATGGAGAATTAATGATCTTTCTGTATAAGTGGAGGAGTGGATGCAGGCCTAACTCCAGGCACTTTGCTGTCTGAGATGGATAAAATGGTGATCCTTCTTTGCAGGCCTTTTCAGATACAGAAGCCATTGTTAAATATTTTTTTAAACTCTGGCTGCAGGACATCATCTTCCACTGCAACTGATACACCAGGCTGACCTCTTGAGTGCAGCAGGACAGGTAGTATGTTGTCCTCCTCCAACAAAAGGTAGTGACTGCAGAGAGGGCACTGGTGCTCCAATTGAATAGCCAGAGATCTCCTTTTGCTAACCCTCTTACCTTGAAGCAGTTGCTACACTCTGCCTAAAGGCCAGCTCTTAGCGATCACTCTGATCGTGACACTTCCAACATTCATGCCCTTTCTTCCCAGATTTCATAATGCAAACTTCCATTTGCAACAGCAGAGGCTTCCTTTCCTAGGGAAATTGGGGAAACCCAGCAGAAAAGTGGGCAGTTTTCTTCAGGAGTACCATAGATTTATGGAAGATTATTCCCCAGCCCCATTCCAGCAGGATGATAAACTAGGGCAGGAACAGGAAAGTAGTTTCAAAATTAGGTGATAAAAGGTTACCCACCCAAATATGTGCTCACAGACGGACATCGCAGATGAACCCCATGCCTCTCTCCCAATGACCCAGCACAAGCAAGATGATTTGAACTTGTGGTGTTATGGAAGCATTGGGGAAGGTTTTAAAAATTAAATTTAAAAAGACCCTCATCTTGTCTGTTTATGCCCCATGCTTCCAATTCTATGCACTGCATGCAATTACATGTTTACCTCAAACACAGAGCATGTGACCTTGTGAATCCTCTAGAACTCAATCACTTCATATAAAAACATTTGTAAGGTTTTTCTTCTAACTATGTCTAAGTAGCAGGCTATCAAACGACATAGTTTTGCTCTGAAAATGTGAAGAACTGAACCGCTTTCTAATAGAGCAGATGGCTAAAAGGCAACAGACCATATTGCCTTCCAACTCATAAATGTTGCACTACATCAGTCTATCAGTTTCCATATCACCCATATTTAATGTTGCTGTTCATACCGTTAGAGAGAATGCAACTTAATGCTATATATCGTATATGCTGTATATATGAAAGGAAGGTGAACAACATTCATAAAAATGTCCTAGGAGGACACGGCATACCAAACTCACAACTGATTGGGCCACACCTGGCCTCTGTATTTTCCTTCCAAGATACTGGAAGAACTGAAACAAACAAAAACAAAAGAAAGAACGAGCCCCCACTTTTTGCTGGTTTTAAAATATAAGTATGCAATGCAGGGGAAAGCTCGTGATCTGAAAGGCTGAATAGCTCACCCTGAGTAGGCGAGACGAGGTGTTCCCTCTGCTCAGACAACAAGCTGCTGACATGGCAACTGTTAGGAGTGCCTAGCAGTGCTGTAGGTGGGGACCCATCGTGACTTTTCCATAGTCAAGGACCCTTGAGGAGCCCCAATAAGGCCATATCAACAAACCCGTTCTAGGCGTTTTCAACTTTTAGAACAGGCTGATGAGTCTCTGTTGCCCATTCAAGACCGAGTCATTCTGAAAGACTTTACAACAGAGGTTACAAAATCTCAACAACATACTGCTGCTGAGAAAATCCATTTTTCTTCCAGCTCCTGTGAAGATTGTAGGTTAAGCTCAGAAGGGACTGAGAAGTCTGGGCACGACAGTAGACATAGAGGATGTTACTGTATCTGCTAAAGAAAACTGGGACAGGTAAGAGGGTGTTGCTTTCACTCACCCACTTTCTGTAGCAATATCTGTGCCCCATAAATCTTGCACACATGCCCAAAGCCCCAGGTACCTTTCTCTAGTTCAGGGCTTGACTGAACCAGGGATCTCCTGGATACAAGACAGGCTTTCTGTCATCGAGTTACAGCCCTTCTCCTGGTGTGCTTCATTAAAACTATCCTGGCTCCCTTACTTCAGACTAGCTGAAAAGCGCTCTCGAAACGATATTGGAGGCAAGCACAGAAGGCAGAACTTTTTCCCTTTGCTGCTTGGCACTTCATTTTACCCTTGTGTCATGCATTACTTTTGCTGAGATGGAATGTTATTTCTCAGGTGCCATTTCAGTTAAACAGATTATGTTAGGAAAGGATTGTCACACCTTTAATAACCTTTCTAACTGAAGTCCTGGATTTAATGCAAGTTTAATAGAAAGGCAAGGCCTTTGCCACCAAGAAGTATTTGGGCAGAAACACTGTTTAGGCTGCACTTCTATAGACCCTTATCTGGAAGAAAGTCCCATTAACTTCAGCAGGATTTCTGAGTAAACAAGGTGATGCTTCGGAATGCACTGCTAATAGCAGTTTCATAGGCTTGACATTTGGCCAGTCTGTTTATGGAAAGGTTTTGCATGTCAAGAATTGAAGAGGGGGAAGGAGTCTTGAGAATTTGTTTTACGCAAGGTGGTGGGGAAGGCTGCATATTTCTAATGTTTGTATAATTGCCAGGGCATTTTACTGCATTCTTTTCTTCACTTGCAAGCCATGGAACTTGTCGTAATGTGACCACATGACAAGCCTTACCTTGCTTATGGTGGTTTGTCTAGCAACGAAGGCTGTCCACCAGAGTCAGACAAATTGCAAATTATGCATTAAATCTGGACAGATCCAGGTCAATTTGTGAGAGGTCCAATGGAAACAGAATGGGATGAGTTACAACTAAACTGGTTCAGATACGGGGCACAAATCAAATTAGATGGCTTCTGCCTACTAGATTTAAACAAAACAAAACCACAAAAAACCATCTCAGGAAGTTCAAATGGGCCTAG